CTGCTGAAAAGTTACCGCTAATCCTCATTCTGAGTCAAACTCTTCCCTTTTCTTAACCCAAACACAGGCTCCTCTCATTTCCAATCAGCGGCTATGAGATTTGATGGCGGAAAGAAAGAAAGAGAAGCCAACAGGGGGAATGGGGGACAAGAGTGCCAGGGAAAAGCAGGAATAGATATTGGATCCCTGTGTGCCTACTCAGAGCTGGGGAAAGAAATTAAAGTCACCAAGAGCAGGTTCTCAGGCTCATTCCCCCTCCATTCTCCTGAACTAAGAGAGAACTGTGTCCTTTTCTAACAGGTCTAACAGGTCTTTGTCTTCAGATATCAGAAGGAGACCTGGATGATTTGGCTCAGGATTTAAAGGACTTATACCATGCCCCCTCTTTTCTGAACTTTTATCCCCTGGGGGAAGATATTGACATTATTTTTAATTTGAAAAGTACCTTCACAGAACCCGTGTTGTGGAGGAAGGACCGACACCATCATCGTGTGGAGCAGCTGAGCCTGGGTGGTCTGCTGGAGACCCTTCAGAGCCCCTGCATTATCGAGGGGGAATCGGGCAAAGGAAAGTCCACTCTGCTGCAGCGGATCGCCATGCTCTGGGCCTCTGGGGAGTGCAGGGCTCTGAGCAATTTCAAATTTGTCTTCTTTATCCGTCTAAGCAGGGCCCAGGGCGGACTCTTTGAAACCCTGTGTGATCAGCTCCTGGATATACCTGATACCATCGGGAAGCAGACTTTCCCGGCCATGCTGCTAAAGCTACGGCAGAGGGTTCTTTTTCTCTTAGATGGCTACAATGAGTTCAACTCCCAGAACTGTCCAGAAATCGAAGCCCTGATAAAGGAAAACCATCGCTACAAGAACATGGTCATAGTTACCACCACCACCGAGTGCCTGAGGCACATCAGGCAGTTTGGTGCCCTGATTGCTGAGGTAGGGGATATGACAGAGGACAGTGCCCAGGTACTTATCCGAGAAGTGCTGATAAAGGAGTTGGCGGAGGGCTTATTGCTCCAAATTCAGAAATCCAGATGCTTGAGGAATCTGATGAAGACCCCTCTCTTTGTGGTCATCACTTGTGCAATCCAGATGGGTGAAAGTGAGTTCCACTCTTACACCCAAACCACACTGTTCCGTACCTTCTATGACCTGCTGATTCATAAAAACAAGCACAAACATAAAGGCATGTCTGCAAGGGACTTCACTCGGAGCCTGGAGCACTGTGGAGACCTGGCTCTGGAGGGTGTCTTCTCCCATAGGTTTGATTTTCAACCAGAGGACATGTCCCTTGTGAATGAGAGTGTCCTACTGACAACCGGACTGCTCTGTAAGTACACAGCTCAAAGGTTCAAGCCAAAGTACAAATTCTTCCATAAATCATTCCAGGAGTACACAGCCGGACGAAGACTCAGCTCATTATTGATGTCTCGTGAGCCAGAGGAGGTGGCCAAAGGCAACAGTTACTTGCAGAAAATGGTTTCTATTTCAGACATTACGTCCATCTATAGCAACCTGCTCCTGTACACGTGCGGATCATCAGTCGAAGCCACCAGGGCCATTATGAAACACCTTGCAGCTGTGTATGAACACGGCAACCTTGTTGGACTTGCCGTCACCAAGAGGCCTCTGTGGAGGCAGGAATCCTTGCAAAATCCAAAAAACACCACTGAGCAAGAAATTCTGAAAGCCGTAAACATCAGTTCCTTTGCAGAGTGTGGCGTCAATTTATTCCATGAGAGCATATCCAAATCAGCCCTGAGCCAAGAGTTTGAAGATTTCTTTAGAGGCAAAAGCTTGTATATTAATGCAGAGAACATCCCTGATTACTTATTTGACTTCTTTGAACACTTGCCCAATTGTGCAAGTGCTCTGGACTTCATTAAACTGGACTTCTACGGAGGAGAAACAGCATCACAGTCCGAGACGGCCGAAGACACAGGCAGAATCCCTACGGAACGGTCCTCCAAAACCTACATTCCCAGTAGGGCTGTATCTTTGTTCTTCAACTGGAAGCAGAAATTCAAAAGCCTGGAGGTCACACTGAGGGATTTCAGCAAGTTGAATAAGCAAGATGTTAAATATCTGGGAAAGATATTTAGCTCAGCCACAAGCCTCAGGCTGTCCATTAAAAAATGTGCAGGGGTGGCTGGAAGCCTCAGTTTGGTCCTCAGTACCTATAAGGACATCCATTCTCTTATGGTGGAAGCCAGTCCCCTCACCATCGAAGACGAGAAGCATATCACGTCTGTGACAAACCTGGAGACTTTGAGTATTCACAACCTACAGACTCAACGCCTGCCAGGTATTGTAAACATTAGCAGTTTAAGTTATACTGAAGCCTGTGGGTACAGTGGAAATACTTGATTATCATATCATTCTGTTTTACATTTTCTTACAGTGTCTACTAGATGTCAGAACTTGGAAGTGAGGTGGGAGGGCTGGGAAGAAGGGTCCATGAAGGCATAGGCTGTCAGATTAGGAGGTCCTCCCTAGAGAAGAACTCCCAGAGCTGCAGCTCTGCAGTCTGATTAGAAAGCTGTATGAGAGTACCAGCTCCATGACCCAGTGGTTAAGAAATTTGGATTGCACATAGCCAACCACAAAGTTTGAAAATCTTGACAGGATTTTCCTGTGGTATAACTATTTCACATGGAGAGTGATTTCTTCCTCTCCCTTTCTCTGTCTCTTTCTGGAGCATGCATGTACCCTCTTGCAAATTAAAAACAACAAAAAAAGAAAAGCTCTTTGAGGGGACCTCAAAGAGTAGGTAGAGAAATGGAATTAAAGTATGGGTTTATTTTGCTGCAAATTTTTTTTTTCTGGAGATTTTTTTTTTTTTCTGCTATAGGGCATGTGCACTCACCAGAAAGACAGAGAGAGACAAAGAGACAGAAAGTGAGAAATCACCGCCCCAGGCGGAATGGCCACACCATGATCCTTTCTCCTCCATTCTCCTTTCGGAATCTTGGGCACATGTGCCCGGCCTGAGTTTAAGCTACTGGGTCCGGGGCTTGAACCGTGGACTACTACATGAGAGTCTAGCAACGTAGCCATTACACTATCTGCTGGTCCCTCACTGCAAAAGATTTTTGAAATCATGTGTAGATTTTTCACAGTATGCAGTTTCTATGAACTGTTTGCAGATCTCCAATGTATTTAATTATTAAAATACATAAATATTTGCTATTTCAGTATGTATACATATGAAATAAGTCAAGCCTGTCTTCGGCAAGCCCTTCTTCTTGTCACCATCTCAGTCTCTACCCAACACCATGGCTTCCTTGCCAAGTGCACCCTGCCCTACTTTGAGAAGGAAGGCAGTCAAACCAGTAAATTAATCAACTGCAGGAGCTAGTGGCTGAGTTTCTCAAGTCTCATCTAGAAAATTACTGAATTTAACAAGGCCAATTCCCAACCCCACCTCAAGAATTATTCATTTAGAAGGCAAATTTTCACAATGGATGCTACCCAATAAGAAGAAATTTGACTTCAAACATAGGCATATGGGGCAATCTGTCAGGGAAAAGAGGAGATTTCCCCAAATCCCAGGTAACACTAACGTCAAATTTCTGCCCCACCTCTGTAGATCAGTTCTATTACCCAAGCACAGACTACCCAACTGTAGCAATCTGAGGTTAGTTTTCAGTCCCAAGCCATTTCCCATCCTTGCTTGTCACACTGCAGAATTCTCTGCGGTTTTAAGAATCTAGACTCTTTTTGTACAGATAATCTTTGCAACTTCCTACTCAATGCAGTATTCTTTTCTGAAAAATTCTGGCTGTCACCCAGACTTTGTAAGAGTGGTTTCCAGGGACCAGCAGTTGGCGTAATGGCTATGTCGCTGGACTCCCATGTAGTCGATAGCAGTTCAAGTCCCAGACTCAGTGGCTTAAACTCATGCCAGGTGCGTGTCCATGCATGCCCAAGATCCCAAGAGGAGAATGGAGGAGATGGGATTGCGGCATGGCCATCCCTCCTGGGGGGTGATTTCTCGCTTTCTGTCTCTCTGTCTCTCTGTCTTTCTGGTATGTGCACATGCCCTATAGCAAAAACCTCTCCAAAAAATAAAAAAATAAAAAGAATGATTCCCAATATTTTCTTCTTAAATTAAAAAATTCAATTTAACTTTTGAGTAATATAGTTACAAGGCCCAAATTATAAAAGAATCTAGAATAAAAAGTACCCTTTTTGCCCCCAGCCTCTAGCCATGACTCTTTTTAAAAAATAATTATTTTATTTAATTTTATTTATTTGCTTGTTTATTTTAACGAGAAAGAGAGAGAGAGAATGAGAAAGAGAGAGAAAGCAAGCTACCAGGTCCAGGACTCAAACTGTGGTCACCCATGTAGGAGCCCAGTGCCTTTACCCAC